ACCATGAACGAGATAATGCTCATAACAGAGTCATGGAACGCCAAGTATATATGCTGTTGATTCACATTAAGGTCCGCGTTTCAGGAGTTATGGGACCACTGAGCACGCAAGTTTCTGGACAGTAGAAGGCCAACTCACCACGTGCTTTCCAGGGCTTCCTTCCACTACTCACCAAATGTGCAAAACTAGAATGAATCTTCTGCTAAAACATGGAATCATACGCGGCCATATGTTTTGTCTTTTGTGCAAGTGGTGACGAGTAGAGCAAGGCCCTTAGGGCCACTGCTCGTAGGAAAAGGAAACAAAAGAAAGAGAGGAATGAATCTTCTGCTAGAACATGGAACCATACGTCACCATATGTTTTGTCTTTTGTGCAAGTGGTGACGAGTGGAGCAAGGCCCTTAGGGCCACTGCTCGTAGGAAAAGGAAACAAAAGAAACAGAGTAATGAATCTTCTGCTAGAACATGGACTCATACGCCGCCATATGTTTTGTCTTTTGTGCAAGTAGTGACGGGTGGAGCAAGGCCCTTAGGGCCACTGCTCGTAGGAAAACGAAACAAAGGAAAGTGAGAGCTACGGTAGTAAGTAGTTGTAACGTGTAACCCATAACTTCTGAAAAGCAGACCTGACTTCGGATCCAGAACATATATCGCTGGCCTGCTCCATTCTCACACGAAATTTGCTGAACGTCTCTTGAGACGTTGGGACCTTTGCAGATGCACTGGGGTCCTTCGGGAAAAGGACAATTCAACAAGGAATTCGTATGCTCATTTTTTTTTCCTGTGCCCTTCGATATTTTAGAAGGGAGGGGCACCATTGGCTACCTCAGCCAGCCCTCCCCAAACTTTTTTTAACTCTATTTATTGGGGTGTGCGGGCATAGTTGCGCGTGCACTAGGCGCCGCACGTGTGGAGCTCGCGCGCATGCGATGCGCCGGAGTATAGGGGTGATACAGGGGGTTATGGACGGTTTAATAAGGGTGTTGGCGGCTGTTCGGGGCTGTTGGGGTGGTATATGGGGTATTGGGGTCTGCTATGGGGGTGTTGGTGATATTATTAGGGGTTCTGGACCCCCCCCAAAAAAAAAAACTGTGGGGTGCCGACGACCCCCGACCAGTAGGTTCCGACCAGCCGACCGGTCAGCGCGTCGGCAGCCGACCAGTCAAGGGTCGCTGACTGGTCGGGGTGTGCAACCCTGGTCCAGAGTCAAAAAAAAAAAAAAAAAAAAGGCAATGTACTCCTTCCGATTCATTCCTTCGTGATATCCGTCGAAAAATTTGAACGACGCAAAGGAGATTAGCATGGCCCCCTCCCTGTGCAACAGAAACTTAAAAAAGAAAAAAGAGAAAAATCAAACAAAACAAAAGCATAGCCGTTACGTAACAAAAGCAAAGACAATATAGGACAACAAAAGCAGAGGGACTTAAGGCAGGCTATAGGATATGCAGACATAGGCCAAGTGCAGAGATAGGGCAAACAGTCCTTTGGGACATCCATTAAACCATGGCCACCTAGGAGGGGGTCTCCTTTTCCCCCAAGTAGCAACTAAAACAGACCCGCGTTTTCCCCTCCTGGACTGCCAGAAACCTGCACGGTACCTGGCTTCACAGGTAGCGGTGGTTTGAAATTGGGATGGCAAAAAGAAGATTAGCATGGCCCCCTGCACAAGGACAAGATTTTTCAACCAAAAAAAAGCAAAAAACAAAGGAGATAGGGTGAACAGCAAGACATCATTTGAAGGTCGAGAAACTCAATACATACCTCATGAGAAGAGGCCACACAACGGCATTTCTTAAAAATGGATTACGTAACATTTATAAAAGAGAGAGAAAAGAGAACAATGACAGCAGATGAAACTCAGATAAACATTAGTCCTTATTATTATTCTTAAACCACCAGTTCACACGAGCCTCTAAGTTAACGAAGCGCCTTCCAAGGCTCCCGAGCCTGCAACTGCACCTTTCGAAAAAGTGGCCTTCCACTTTTGCTACCGGCCCAGGCCTGAATCAAAAAGCTTGTACACCGCAAACCGGTACGAGCCGTACTCCGCTGCCGTTGAACTGGCGATTTAAATAAGTTCGTACATACAAAACATTGGCACAAGATTACAGCAACACAATGGCTGCCAACTTTTTTTTTTCAAACGCCAAACGATGCCATGTTAGCAAACATATATCCGCCAATCGAACCGATCCAGGAAGACACCAGACTGAGTGTCCTCATCATGTCATGATTCGCATAGAAATCTAAGCGAAGAAGGACTTCGTACTTCGTACCTTCCAAGGTGCTCCAGCACATAGCGAGATTACGATAGTAAATTAGAAAATGAAGTACGATGGTTATGCTCGCTTGAAAACTCCGTTGATTAATTAACGTTCTCAACTTATCTGTGTTTTGAACTGTTTTCACTAAATTTGGATACATGTTAAAATATATATAGCAAGATTGGCGAACCAGGGTGATTCTCCCCGCGATAGAGGAGGACAAATGTTCATGGTAGTATTTCCATTAAGAAAGAGGGGGGGAGGAGGGCAAGAATCACTTGGGGAAAAGTAACATAACAAGAACAGGATAAAAGCTACCTTTGTGGCAACGTCAGTGAGAGCTCGCTTCAGCCATGCAGTGTCAGTTCGATGCTCCGCCATTCGGTCAAGACCTGCATCAGAGTAGAAGATTCCCTAGTTTTCCACAAGTCCATGCAGAAATCCAACAACCCAGCCCCATCAAGGAGAAAGAAACATGTCTGAGTACACACACGCTGCCAACTATAAACCGGAAATTTGATCCTCTCTCTCTCTCTCTCTCTCTCTCTCTCTCTCTCTCTCTCTCTCTCTCTCTCCCCCCCCCCCCCCCCCCCCCCCCCCCCCCCACTGACACGACTAGTAGTGACAGCTCCGACCACGTGTATATGTAAAATGAACCACTATGAAGGCATATAATTATTGTCACAAGAATATCAGAGCACAAAAGCAAAATGCAATCAGACTCAACTTCAGACTTCCTCACAATATGCACACTTGAGAACCGATGGCAAGACCGAACTCTTCCAACTCAGAAACAACATGAACTTGTATTAAACTCAGTCTGAATCAACTGTACCACTTGCGGCTATGGCCGCCGAACACAGTCTCTACCACCAGCCTCACTCTACCTCACTCTCGCATGCACGCACGTACGAGGATCACCCTGAATGTCCACGCTGCACAGTCACACCCACTGTCTATACTCTGCCTACACCAACAGCTGGGCGGCTATGGCCACCGTCATCTTCCTCCTCCTAGCTATGGCCGCCGGTGTCTCTCTCACTGGTTCACTATGGCCGCTATCTTCTTCACAGCCCACTTCTTCTCCGGGCATCTGCAGTCCTCCACGCACAAGATACCAAGGCAGCTCTTCCGCATGGCACACAGGCGCATGAATGGCTGGCTGGACGCTGCCTCTTTATTTATACCTCTTCCGAGGTACCCGGTCCTACCTCAAAACGGGTGGGCCTGGGCCAAAACGTGTGGCCCAGGGAAGCTTCCAGACGTTTGGCCCTCGGGGCCAAAACGTGTGGAACCCACATCGTGGTCCAGAACCTTCCCCACGTGCAGCCCCTACCCCTGGTACTTGCTGACTGGACTGGCCTACAGGGACCTACGACCTTCTAGAGCCTACAGAGTGACAGACAGACTCTAGGCCTCAGTAGACTCAGATAGAGACTTCTAGAACAGATCTTCCTAGGCCTAATGGTAACAGACCTAGCTCCTAATCTGCAGACCTGGGGATCGAGTCTCACACAGATCACTGGGCCTATGTACAGGGTACAGGGTAGGTGTAGGGATTGAATCTCACTCAGCACACAGGGTCAATGTACAGGGTTTGGGCACAGGTCTAGGGATCAAATCTCTGTGTCTGCAAATGTCGGGATAACTGGGTGAAACCGTTTCACTCCCGCCGTCCTAAATTCGAGGTCCTCCGAGAACACTAACTCAAGATAGGACCTTTGCCCTTTCTTTCCCTCTCATAGGCGTGTACTATGTCGGGAGCGGTTTCTAGTAGCTCGGTTCTTGTAAACCGTCTGCCGTCCTCGGGTTCCTGGTATGCGAACCTAACCTTATATTGTTTCTGGGGACGACCTCAACCTCCTGTCCTGAACACGTCCTCTTCCACTATGTGATCTATATCATATGCATCATCCATGTCTGGTGGAATCATTGATCTTCTGGAAGGAAATCTGTCAGATGTGGTGCAAGGTAACAACTTAGAGGCATGGAAGACTGGGTACGTGTGGAGGTGTGCTCGGATCTCTATCGTATATGACGGGCCGTCCTCTCCTCCTTTGACTTCTAGGCCAGGCCAAGGTCCTGTATAGGCAGGTAAGAGCTTCTGCGAGATGTTTTCCTCAGGTGTGAACTCCTTTGACTTGACCCAGACTAGATCGCCTACCCGAAACTCTGAAGGTCGGCGGTGCTTGTTGGCTTGCTCTATCATCCGATGCTGGGCTTTCCTCAGATTGGCTATGACCTTCGCCACTTCCTGCTCGTGCTGCAACCCAAACTCTCATGTGCCGGGTGGTAGTCTCTGTATCTGGTCCCGATTTAGTCCCTCAAACAGTGGTCGCCTAGGCCTAAAGGACTTATGTAGCTCATTAGGAGTTCTGCAAGTAGCTAGGTGGACACTATTATTGTAGGCGCTTGCTACTTTGTGAAGCATCTCATCCCAGTTTATCTGATCTGGTCTAATATACATTCTGAGTAGCTGCTGCAAGATCTTATTCATCTGCTCTGTCTGACTGTTAGTCTCTGGGTGTCATCCTGACGACATCAACAACTTAGACCCATAGACTTTCATAAGATCCTGCCAATACTGACTAGTAAACCACGTGTCCCTATCACTAACTATGGACAGCGGGATGCCATGCTTGCTTACCCAGAAGTCGAAAAACTTACTAATGACTAACTCTGTACGTGCCTCTGAAGGCAGGGGAACAAAAACTGCATACTTACTAAATCTATCTACTATGACCATGACGTGCTTACTTCTGACCCTGGTATCCATGAAGTCAATGGAAACTGAATGTCCGGGTCCTGATGGAATAGGCAAGGGTCTAAGAAGACGTAGCAGGGCTCCCGTTGTGGACTTGTTACGCTGACACACCTTGCAGCTGCCAAAATACTCTATGCAGTCTGCTTTCATTCCTGGCCACGTGTATGACATCATCAGGTTAGCTAAGGTCTTCTGCCATCCTAAGTGTCCTTCCGTATCGTGGCATTCCCCTAGAATCAGGCTACGGATTTCTTCACTATTGGGGACACAGTCTGTCAGCGACGTTGGTCTTCTCGAACAATAGCCCATTCATGGTTCAGTAGTGTGGCTCACTATATGGGGCTTCCTTTACTCTCTTCAGCAGCTCACTGTAGATCGGGTCCTGTGCATAGGCATCTCTTACTTTCTGCTGCAGGTCGGCCCCTATGTCTAGACAGTGCACTATCGTGCCGAAGTAATCAGCTCTTCACCTTAGAGCATCAGCTACCACGTTATACTTTCCTTTTATTGGCTTTAACTCAAAGTCAAATTGGTCTATCTCAGCACCCCATCTAGTTAACTTGGGTGTCATCTTGGCCTGTGTCTTTAGCCATCGAAGAATCTCGTGATCAGAGTATACCTTCAAAGTAGTGTCTCCAGTGATCTAAGGCCTGCCTTAGAGCGTAGAGTTCCCTCTCGTATGTCGATGCTGCGACTTTCTCTGAAGGCAGCCTGGCTGACATGACTCTACGGGTCTGTAACCGTTGCCGCAATCTTGCTGCAAAACGGCCCCTATGCCATACTGACTAGCGTCTGTAGTAACAACGAATGGTAATGACGGACCAGCAACAGGGTATTCTATCACGGCCCCTTTTAATTTCGTGAAGGCTGACGTGCAATCCTGGTCCCACTTCCAGATAAGTCTCTTTCTTCAGTAACCTACAAAGGGGAGCAGCGATCGTAGAGAAGTTCCTCACGAACTTCCTGCAGTAGTTAGCCAGTCCTAAAAATGAGCGCAACTCTGTCAGCGTCTTAGTAGTTGGCCAGTCTCTAATGGATGCAATCTTGCTGTCCTCAGGCCGAATGTTGTCGCCGTCTAGTACATGGCCGAGGTAAAGGACCTCTGTCTTGGCCCATTCGCACTTCTTTGGGTTAATTTTGAAGTTAGACTCTCTCAGCTTGCTTAGAATCTGCCGCAGATGGCCCTCGTGTTCCTCGAGGGTCTTGCTGACCATTAGGATGTCATCTAAATAAACTACGACGAATCTATCCAACCACGGTCTAAACAAGTCGTTCATGCAGCTCTGAAATGTAGTCGGTGCATTAGTAAGTCCAAATGGCATGACTATGAACTCGTAATGCCCATATCTTGTCCTGAACGCCGTCTTATACTGATCATCAGGATGCACTTCTATCTGATGGTAACCTGACTTCAAATATATCTTTGAGAAATACTTGCATCCTTGCACTCGATCTAACAGGTCATCTATACGAGGTAGCGGCTCTGCATTCTTCATTGTGATGGTGTTCTTATATAAATAAAATAAATAAATGGATAAATAAATTAGATCAGTAATTAATGAATTGCAAGGAAGATGAGCAATAGCGAATTCCCGAACTCAACAGCATCATACCAGAGTGACCAAATAGCCATGACCTCGAACCATAAGCAGAATGACATCACAAGTTATACCAAATAAGAACACAGCAATAGTTCATAATTGACAATGCTGAAGTTGTCTCTCATCATCATCAACAAAGAACAAGAGTCGGTATCCTATTGGCGCTCGGCGCCCAGACTACAAGATGGCAGATCCTATCTAGCCTACTACTACAATGCCGAAGTTGACGTCAACAGCTTCACCAAAGTACGAGCATATGCGGCCAATGTCGCTCGCCTCAAGCCCCAGGTATGACTCCCGCATCGCTCTCAACCCCGATCCTCACCGCACAGATGCCTCTAGCACCCAAGGACCAACCTGCGCCCAACCCAGCTTACAGCAGGCAGCGTGGCTATGGCTGCCTGCTTCTTCCACACTCGCC